TTCGAGGTCAGAGACCGTGGGCTGAGAATGGAATGCTATGATCGTCGAGATGTCTTTGGAGACCAGCTTGTAAGTGCCAAGGGCCAGGTGACATAACAAAATGCTGTCATTTAGAGCAGGAGACCCCAGGCCCTGGCCATGGACTGGAACTGGTCTGTGGCTTTAGGGACTGAGCTGCACTGGGTGAGGAAGTGAGGCCCATCTGTATTTACAGCCCCTACGCCACGCTCACACCACCACCTGAGCCCCGCCTCCTGTCAGGGCAGCAGGGGCAGCAGGGCCTCCTAGGGACGTGAACCCCACTGTGAACTGCACATGCACGGAATCTAGGTCACGTGCTCCTTGTGAGAATCTGATGTAATAATAGAAATAAAATGCACGAGGTGATAATAACGAAGTGCACTGGAATGATCCCGACCACCTCTCTCCCATCCATGGAAAAACTGTCTTCCACAAAACCGGCCCTAATGTCTCAAAAGCTGGGGACTGCTGTCTTCAAGTATATTTTACAATTCAAAGTAGCTATGTCACTCACGCTAGTTAGACTGTGCTGAAAATAGAGAAGTAGCTCGTCCCTGTCATCTGCAAGGCCAGAGAGGAGACTGCCAGCTGGGAAGCGGGGATCTCTCCCTCCTCACTTGGCAGATCCGTCCCGGGCCGTGGCCTGCCCTGCTCCCAGCCCCTGCAGTTCATCAACCTCTCTGATCTATCTGGTCACTTGCTGCCTATATGCTGTTATTTGCCAGGAACTTCTTGTTTGTTTGCACTCCAAATGGTTCTAGCACACAAAACTATCAGATAAAATTCCATCTGTGGTTAATTAAAAGATCTGCTTAAACGTTGCATCACTGCTGGAAAGAAACCTGAGCTCTGATTAAACTCTGGGGGCAAAGTCCCAGCCTACAGAACAAAATGCCTACTCTGTCCTTCAAATCATTTTGTGACTTCAGCACATTAATGCACTGAAAAGAAGCATCAAACTGGAGGCTTCAGGCACCCCGGAAGGAGGTGATAATAATATCTTTATCCTTCCATTTCTGTCATCCGTCTGGCTAAGAACCAAAGGGAAGGAAAGGGCTGAACCCGAGTCATTGTGCTAAAATGTAAGGTTTGGAAGACACAGGCAGCAGCGTCTAACTATAAGCCAGCTTGGAACAGAATCAGAACAAGTAATTTAAAAAAAATTTGTGAGCCCTTTCAGCTATTGGCTGATCATCTGTAACATCCACCCTTCTCCAGACTTTTGGCAAAAGCACAAGTTAAAAACAAATGCTTTCAGTTTGCTTAAATGACAGCCCTTGGAAAAACCCAGTGACTGATACTGCACACTGAGAACGCTCAGGCTGTTCTTCCCGGGATAGGGTTGATCAACAAAGCAATTGGAGCAAAACAGCCCTTTTCAGGCATTAAAAAAAAAAAAATCAAGCAAAGGTAATTAAGAATCTAAGGGAATCAATAGGGTAAAAAATGCCCAAGAAGTATGTGTGTATGTATGCATCTGTGATTAAAGAAAAAAGTCCTACTAGTGCCTCCCTTGTGCGTTGTTTTAACAAATGTACACTCTCTCAGTTTCTATGTGTCACTGGGGTCCGCTATAAATTCCATCACTTATCAAAGCACTGTTAGACAACAGAAACTGGAGCTAATTAAAAAAGAATACCATCTGTACTCGATTGAACTTTATCCTAAGCCCTGTAACATTCATTTCCAGTTTGGTCATTCCAATATAATGGCAATTTTGCATTCCACTGCCTCTGAATAATATTCAATCATCTTTTTCCTCTTGTTAATAATATTAATGACACAATTCTCCAGATGTTAAGGTGTCACCGGGAAGGCTTTGCTAATGTAGGAAAATGGTTCAGATGCGCTGCAATAAAAGATAATGCTAAATACCTACATAAAACGGCTAATTTTTGCCAAATATTTAATTGGAAATGACAAGGCAAAGTAAATATTCATCAGACTGACAGCTAATTGATTTGGTTTGCCTTTAAATGAGACTCATGTAAACAGAAGTATTTCAATTGCAATTCTGAACTCATGGCTGGTTTAGAGGTCTGTATGCCTGCCCTGGGCTATAGTTTTACTTAGACCGTTGGGAGACAATCAGCCAATCACGTGCAGGTTCCAGGCAGAGCTGGGATGGTCTGGCTGTTTACCTTTTTCCTCTTTCTTCTTTATTGGCAGATGCTCTGATAGCAGCCCTGCCAGGAGCTTATTAAAAAACTCTCTGTAAAAGAGATTTTCATTCAAAATCATTTAACTGCCGAGCCTTTGCCTGGGAAGTCTATCCTTCCTCCTGTGTCCTTCCAGGACACAACTGATTACTGAGAATCCTTTGCCTCCACACTCAAGCTGAGTACAGTACTTTGGAAACACCTAGAATGAGTCAACCGTGCAGCTCAGACGCTACTGAGGGAGCAGGGCAGAGGCAGCGAGGCCCTGGAGCCTGTGTGGTACCTGTCCCAGCCTGGGTACCGTGCATGTGCAAACGCATGCTTCCCTGCTCTGCTGTGGCTGCCCAGTGTGGACCTTCTGGAAGACTCTGCACTCCCATTGCTATTCACAGCTAATCTGTTTTTGGAAAGGAAACTGTTCAAAGTGAGTACTTTTATGTTAGCCTGTGTTTGGGATCTGTACTACATACATCTCGGGTACTGGAATACATACACAGCACATCTTAATTCTTTTTATTTCCCTTTCCCTACCCTTCCTTCTTGTCTCTCCCCAGCCATAGATTCCTTTCACATCACCATAAAACCTACTTCCTTGTTTCCTACCATCTTTTATTTTGCTCTTTGAATTATTTTTATTATGGGTTTCTCATGTAGGAGAAACCATGCAATATTTAACCTTTTGCGTCTGATTTATTTTACTTAGCATTGTGGTCTCAAGCGGCATCTATTTTCACAATGGCTCACATGCATCTTTCTTTTTGGCTATGCAATATTCCTCGGTGTATATATATACTACATTTCCTTCAGCCACTCATCTATTCATGGGCTGCTTCCAAGAGTTATCCAATATGAGTTAAATCGTGAATAAACATGTATCAGTGTAATATGTCTTTAACTCTTTTGGGAAGATGTCATAAAACACCGAGTCACTAAAAATAGAGACCACAGACAAAATCTATTGCAGCATGCCTTTGTGCTAACAACTGATGAGCAGCTTAGTTCTTGGACGTCCCATGGGAAGGGGACCCAGAAGCCCACTGTCCTAGTTCCTTCGCAGAGCGCACCCAGGCAGGGGACTTCCTGTGTTCCAAGAGCTTGCTCTTCACAGTAACTCTCTAAGTGGCCGCAATTTTACAGCTCCAGAGATTTCAGGCAAAGAAGAAGCACGCTGTCTTCTGAAAACAGACCAACTGCCTGCACACGGTGAAACCACAGAGAGGCAATGCAGCCACGCCCTTCTGAGCTTCAGACAGGTCACTCTGCACCTCCCAGCACCACTTCTCAGCCAGCAGGCTGTGCCCTCCTCGTAGAGCACCCCACAGCTCTTTCCGCGACTGGTGCATGCAGCAGGTGGCTTCCCCTTCCCAACAGCCCCATCCCAGCAGGACATCTGGCTTTTCTCCCTGAAGGGAGAACAGGTACCTGCCCCTTTCAAAAACATTCCTTTTCCTTCCATGGCGTGAGTGCAAGAGATACAATCACAGGCCCACGTAATTAGGAGAGATGATGCATATTAAAGTGCCTAAGCACATGGGAATCCTGTAATAAATATTAAAGTCCTCTCCTTGCTTTGAAGGAATGAGATTAGATTAGCAGAGTATTCTGTATCTCTTTCTACCTATCAATCCATCCACCCATCCATCTGTCCATCCACTGATTCATCTGTCCATCCACCTATCCATCTATATACCTACAAAATGACAGAAATACATTCAAAACATATCTGTCTTTTCGTAGCTAACTTACAGGAATGAGGTCCATGTGCTTTAAATAAGAACAGTCACAGGAGAGACGCCCAAAGAAGGGGCATTCAGTTCAGTGTCCAGAGATAAACTACCTCCCCCACGACCCCCAAGCTCTGTCAATACAAACGAAGCCATGATTGTCAGTGTGTGGCCTGGGGCAACACCAAAAACCCATTCTTCCATGGTAACTCATTATAACTGTTCTCTGGGACTCTGAAATAATGCTGTGCACCAGTTAGGGATCCCAGACTAGCTCTGAGCATATTGCTTTTAAGAGAAGACGATTTCCATGTTTAAAACTATGATCCATTGCCAGACGTGGTGGTGCACGCCTGTAATCCCAGCACTTGGGAGGCTGAGGCAGGAGGATCACTGTGAGTTCGAGACCAGCCTGGGCTACATAGTGAGTTCCAGGTCAGTCTCAACTACATAGTGAGACCCTGTCTCAAAAAAACCAAACCAAACCAAAACAAAACAAAAAAAAGTTAGCCTCTTTTCAAATAATATTTGTTTTACTGAGTTATATAAATTTTAAGGAAAAAGTTATATACTTATTGCCCCAATTTTTAAATTAATGGTAACCAGTAAGATAGATGTTATGATAACCACAAAAGCATCTGTCTGCCTAACTTCTAATTTCATTATTAAAATGCTTTCTAGAATTGCCTAGTAGCTTTGCTTTAAGAGATTCACATATGTACTTCCTAGTTAATAAGTATCTTGTCAATTTTTTAAATTATTTTTTGGTTTTGCTTTTTGCAATACTGTGGATTAAACCCACAGCCTCAGGCATGCTAGGAAGGAACTCTACCAAAAAGCCACATACCCAGTCCTGTTGAATCTTACAATATTGATAGGCCTACACTCACATGAATGTTACTTTCAACTCAAGTCAAGATTTAAAATGTTCAAGTCTTACAATGGGTCCAAATATGCAGAGCATTTAGATGGTCTGATATGCTTTATTCAAAGCAGACATGGAAAACTAACAGCTATCTAGAATCACATTACAAGCCAAGATGCACGCATTTTTAGTACCACAGACCCTTAGGAAAACTCTCCCGCCACTGTGTACCTGGGGGTCCATTCTGAGGAAGGTGTGAGGGCCTCTGCTACTCAAGGTCGATCTTTTAAAGGTCTTACTATGATGAAAGTGGTAGAAGTCTTCCAGGTTTCCAATCTGCAAAACAAGAAAACAGGATACTGCCCATTAATACCATTGTGCAAACAGCTTCAAAAATTTTCCTTTCCACAAAAGTTCTCCCCATATCTGAGAGGCTTCCTCTGTTCCCAGGGGAAGCAGACTGCCTCTGCACAATCGTGCTACCCACTTGTATCTCTGGCACAGTCAGTGTTTAGGAACCCGAAGGTGTATTTAGACAGTTCTTTCTACATAAACAACCCTAGGTTATTTTTCCAATGAAGCGCATAATCCACCAAACCTGGAGTAAGTTAGTATCATTTAAAGTTTGTCCTAGCTTGACCAAGCTGTTCAGATGTGGATTCGTGTTCACTTTGGGCCAAGCATCCCGAGGTAGCTAAGTTCGTGTCAAGTCAGGTCTACACCAAAATACTCATCGTAAACAAACCCGGTGGATGCTCTCCACCCGCTGGTAGGCTGAAATATCTAAGAATGAACATTCATTCTCAAGTGCTACAAAGAGCCAAGGACAACACTAGGATCCATCTGCTCTGGGACTGTGCAAAGGTCAGGTGAGAACAACCGAACCCCTGGAGTGTCCCCACTTTCTGCCACGGATAGGTCTTCCAGGCAGATTTCAGCCTGAGGGCTGGATGGAAATGAGAGAAGCCAGCGGGGCCAGTCCCTGGCCTTCAAGAAGTGCTGCTTGCCCTCATGTCAGAGGGCCCTGAAACACATGGACACAGCTCTCAGAGGACTGCTTCTTTATCTTTCACCGGTAGTAGAAAATTGCTAGTCACCACGCTCGAAAGGACAGCTTTTAAAATAAAATGGACTGAATGCTGCCCTTCTCGAGCTCACCCATCATACTTCTTCTCTGGCTTCGGGTAAAGGAGCAACTGAAGACCACAGTACTCCCCGCTTAGCCAGGGTATTGCTTTCTGAGGTTTCAGTTACCTGCACTAACTGTGGTTTGCACATATTAAATGGAAAGTTCCAGACATAAACAAGCGATGTTATACAGAATTTTAGTACAGCTGTTCTACTTACTATTGGTTATTGTTGCTAATCTCTCATCGTGCCTAGTTTATAAATTTATAAATCATAGCTATATATGTTTATGAAAAAAGACAGTATGTATGTATGTAGCTATCTATATGGGTATCAATCTGTATTATACACACACACACACACACACACACACATATGTATTTTATACTACCAGCATATTATACCACATATATTTTCTATGTAATACACTACTATATATTATACATAATATATAGGGAATACATATATACTACACTGTTTAATATATAATTTACATATACATATCACATATATACACACATTATTGGCAATTTTAGGTATCTCTGGTCCTGCAGATAAGAGGGATTACTTTAATTGTACTCTGGAGCAGCTTATATGTGATGATTACCAACATTTTTTTTTCTTGCAGTATTGGGAACTGAACCCAGAGACTATTGAGCTACATTCTCAGCTCTCCTAAAATTTTTAAATTTTAAGACAGTGTCTCAGCTAAGTCACCTAGGCTGACCTCAAACTTGCCGTTCTTCTGTCTCTGTGTCCCAAGTAACTGGGATTACAGTTGTGTGCCCCCACAATATGGGTTTCCAGACAGACAGGCCTGCTTCAAACTCTCTACTCCATTAGCCGTGTGACCTTGGGCAAGAATATTAAATTCCTACAAATCTCAATTCCTTATGAGCAATGCAAAAATAAAACTATAATACTTACCCCTTGGACATACTTAAGAGGACTAAAGTCTACCTAATACACAGCACCCCACTAGCTACCTTATCTTACAGTCATTGTATCACCTGACCCCGATAGAGCTGACTGGCCCAGGCAGAAACCTGGAGGCACCTGGGTGCTGTGAGTGACTATCTGCACACCTTTGCACAAGAAGATATAGCAGGTGTGCAAGAGAGAGTCCAGCATCCTCTTTACCACCCTTTAGCTTTTCTTTCCAGCAGTCCTGTCAGTCTGTCTCCTGCTCTTGGGTTTAGGAGACATCCTTTTATTTTTTTCAACAAAGAACTCCTTCCTCACTTGAGCTTGCTCTGGTGTGTTTCTGTTGCTTACAACATACATATCAAATAGTACGACAGTCATGCCAACCAAAGCCACGCAGATCTGCAAAGTGCCTAGCTTAGTGCTTAGAGCCTAGGGAGTGCTCAACAAATGTGGCTGGTTCTGGCATATTCTCTCCCCTCTCCCCAGGTTCCTCCATACCCCTCTCAAGGTCCAGGATGCGTTAGATTTTGGCCACATCAAGATCTGCATCTCATTTGGCCCCTTCCCGCTGGGTGACCTGGGCTTACCCTCTCTTACCCTCTTTGAATCTTCATGTCTTCATGAAACTAGAAACTACTACCTTGCAGGGCTGATTGCTTCAAGATTCAAATGAGATGTCTATCCATGAAAGAGCCAGCAAAGGGACCAGCAGGTAGTAAGCATTCGATACACGATTTTCTGCAATTCTGGTTCTCAGTTCATTTTCTACCTCAAGACATCATAGACCTCATTATTTCTGCCCTATTTTGCACACAAGCACTTATATTTTTCTTCCTACAGGTAATTCCCCTTGCTAATTTCTTCCACAAAGTTAATTCCCATCTGCGTCCAAACGCTCCTGCTAAAGCATACAAGACCTGCTATTGAGCCAAAGAGGGCTTAACCTACAGCAGTAATCAACACGTTTGCTTATAAGGGGCCACCATCCCTGTAAGGTGTTACATAACTTTTCCTCTTTTAACTCTGGGCATTCAAGGGGCACTGAGAAACTAAGAGTTGAATGAAATTTGCTGGCAAGAATGTATTAACTGAAAAGCCACTAACCCTCCACAGGCCCATGGCAAGGACCCTAAAAGTTATTTGGGTAGCATTTGGCATCTGGGCAACTGAGCCAGGCCTCAGGCAGCCACCTTTCCCGTGAAGCAAGTCTGAAAGCCATCCAACCCCCTGCCTCTGGGACATGTGACCGTCATCAGCGATGACCTACACGGTTGAAGTGGATGGGACTGAACAATGCTGGAAAGAAACAGATGGTCCTCACGGCGCTGGGCAGGCAATGCCTCTGGAGGAACCAGTGGCCAGCACCACATGTTTAGACACTCACGTTAAACTCAACAAGGACTTTTATGGTTTGAGCCTAGCTGTCCCCCCGCAAAGCCTCATTCGGTCAGAGGTGGCTGGATCTAACGTGTGTGAGGCTGGGATGAAGGGCGTGTGATTACTGTAACAGTCCACTGATTGGTTTGGCACCTGCCCTAATCCCGGTAGCCAGGATGCAATAGGAGGGACAGAAAGAGGCTTGTCTTCTCCCTTGTTGATTTTGCTGTCTTCTGCCACCATGAACTGTTGCCCCTCTGCCATGTGCCACCCTGCCTGGAGCCAGCCAATTATGGACAGAAACCTCTACAAGCTGTGAGCTAAATAAACCTTTCCCCCTTTAACTTTAGGTTTTGGATATTCTATCTCAGCAACAAGAGAAAAGTAACTAAGACAGGGGCTTAGGGTCTGGAGAGGGCCAATCCCACTATGGACAGAAGGAAACACCAGCCAAGGGTACTACACCAGTTGCAAACTAGTTGCAGAAGCAGCTGGAATCTGAACACTCCAGTGGAACCATATACTTGCCCTTTCGTGCCTGGCTGATTTCACTCAGCATCACATCTTCAAGGTTTATCTGTGTTGTAGAATGTGGAAGAATCTCCTTCCCTTCTAAGGCTGAACAGTATTTCATTGTATGGATCTGCATCCGTTCATCTACTGATAAGATACTTGGGTTTCTTCCTGCTTTTGGTTCATGAGAATGACACAGCTATAAACATAGGCACACAAAAATTTATCCCTGCTTTTACTTCTTTTGCCTATGTACACACCTCCTGTTTATTTGGTTTTGTTGAAACATAGACACACTTACCCACTTACCTATGCAGCCACTTGCTATTGCTCCTCCTCCCCACCTGTCTAAGCCCTTCCTGGGTTCTCACCTGACTTACCACAGTAGCATCGACTCTACATCTGCCTTTTCCCAACTTGGGGAGAGTCACTCAGATACCTGGGTGTCTTCAGGAGGAAAGAGGACAGGATGCCAGGCTGGGAGGCCAGCAGGCTCAGATACATGGAGATGTGCCCACTAGCTGGTTCAGCATGGGGGATACTTGTGCCCTCTGGCCCTCACTCCCTGCCCTCAGTTTTCCTATCTGCAAAGTGCAGCCATCTCTGTGGAGAAAGATGGCCCTGTTTTATAGATGGGGAGTCTGAAGCCTAAGGAAGTAAAATCCAATGCTCAAAATCCCGAATCAACATCCTTCCTCCTAGATTTCCCAGACAGGCTGGTGAAATTTATATCCTCAAATCACATACAGATACACAAACTATGGTTTATGATGATTGCTACATTTTTTGTTATACCTCTAGGATCTCACTGAAAGAAGCTGGACTCATAGGAACCCAGAAGTCTCACCTATGGGTGGGGGGAAGTTCCAGGAGTCTCTCAGTGCATGTTTGAAACCACAGACAGCACCAAAACCCACAGATACCGTGATTCTTCCCTATGCATACAATAAAGTTTAATTTTTAATTCGGGCACAGTAAGATATTAACCTCAACAATAACCAAAAAGAACCACTAAAGCAATTCAGTGTGGTAAAAGTTACTTCAAACTTATGAATTGTTTATTTCTGAAATTTTCCACTTAATATTTTTGGACTGGGGTTGACAGCGGGTAACCAAAAACTGAAAAGCGAAACCTCAACTAAGGAGGGACTACCGGAGATGGATAAAGGGAGAGGGAGAAGCATAATCATCTTTTAAATTCAAGGTAATCTTTTAAGGAAACAAGCACATGCTCAGGCTCAAGCCCAAGGCCTCATGCATGTTAAGCATGAGTTCTACCACTGAGCTGCACTATTTTTGTTTGATCTCTGTATTGATATTAAAACAGCTATTTCTCTCAGCCGGGCTGCCTGGCCATTCAAGCTGCTGTTCCCTGGTAAGGCCTGGGATGG